TGCTCAGGAAGTGGATTTAAAAATGTTAAAAATGTTCACAGCTGCTGTCTTCCATTCAAATCATGGGTTTTTGGTGGAGGATTCCTTTAATGTTCTTGCTGACAGCTATTGGATCCACTTTAACATGAACTCTGTGTTACATTAATTAGAATTGTTTTACATAATCTCCTCTGTTCTGTCTCCTTTCATTGAAAAAGGGGATGAGCTGACGAAGCTGGAGGATGAGGATGAACAAGGCTGGTGTAAAGGTTGTCTAGACGACGGCACGCTGGGTCTTTACCCGGCCAATTACGTGGAGCCCATCTAACTGTTCCAGCTAAGTAATGTATCGTCGGAGGGTGAACCCAGACTGAACCGTCCAGTCATAAATGCACATTGCCAGAGACTTGAAAGCAAAGCTTCCTCTTCCTCCCGGGCACAGTGAACTTTCTTCATCTCAGCACTCATCACAGAGAAGACTTTACTGAATCTGTTCAGGATCACATCATCTCCAAATACTGCAACCGAAGCAAAATATTTTCTAGTCTCTTTTGTGTGTAGCTGTGTTTGATTTCAGATGTGATGCTAACATGTCATATAATACATTCTCTCATCATAATATTGATATGGTATTGTCACTTGTGCCTGGATAGCGAGAATGAGCTATGCATTGTGCATTTCATGTATATATTTTAATCCTTTTTTTTTACAGTCTGGAGGCTTGTACAGTTTTTTTCTCATTGAATACAGTGTTTTCTTTTCTTTCTACAAGTTTAGCATTACAGGAATAGTTTTACATTTTGGGAAACTGCGCCTGGGAGTTAGATGAGAAGATGGATACCACTCTAATGTAAATATGAAGCTCCAGCTAGGACCAGGTTAGCCTAGCTTAGCATAAAGAGTGGAAATAGGGGGAAACAGCTAGCCTGGCTCTGTCTGAAGGTCGGGCACAGTTGTCTTTTATTAATCTGTACGGAAAGTGGAAAGAATGATATGCTGCAGTTTTGGAAGTTATTGCCCCTGGCCAAGCCAAAGCTACAGCACAAAACCCACCAAAAAAACACAATTTGTCATTTTCTGGTACAGATGAAACAAACAAGATACAAGGGGTTTAGAAAGAGACCCAGGGTAGCTTCTTTCGCTCTGCTTTGTGTCGTTATGCTAAGCTTAGCTAAGCAGCTGCTGGGTCTAGCTTTAAATTTACTGTACAGACATGAGAGTGGTGTTGATCTTCTCATCTAACTCTCTCCAAGACAGCAAATAAGCGTATTTCCCAAAATGTCAAACTATTGTGTATAGTTTTTTTTCTCCTGTACTCCACAGCATCTCACTGAATTAGCATTTTAAAACGAGATAAAAGTCACTGAACAGAGCTTTTCTTTGAAATGGAAATATTTACGTTATCAAATAGTGCAAGGATTGTTTACAATAACCCCCACTGTCGTGCTGACCAGCGGAGGTGTGGATGTCTTCAGTGTTAGAAAAACACTTGACACCCACTGACCCACTCGTCTCTAACAAGGTGCCTGTTATAACTATTACCTGTCATTTCATTTCTTCTTCTGTTTTGTCTTTACATGCAGGCTCCGTGAATAATGCAGGAGTCATGAACAAAACCTGCTTGGAAATACAAACTTGCAGCTGTTTTGTACAGCAATTAGCTTCATTTCACAACCAATGTTTTATTTATTTTCTTATTCTGCAGTTAATGAGACTTGTATTCTATATCAGTGACTCGGCATTATCAGCTTCCAGCTCTTATCTCTGTGATTGTGTGCATGCTGATGCTCCCACACACTGTTTACCGCTCTGATCTGAACTGATCCAGTGCATGGCCTCAATTTGTTTCCACCAAATTATTCACAGTTTCTTGATCAAATTAAAACTCTTACCATGAGGATGATGACACCATTGATTTGCATTGTGTAACTGGGTACCAAAATACAGGTTGTATTAAATATTGGCTATACATGTCTTACAATTAAAAAAAATTGTTTTAATCAGGAAATCTAAATCAAACTTTATACAAACAAAGATGGCAGCACAGTACATGTTAGACGAGATTGGTTTACTACTCCTGGTAGCAGGTGTTGGTGAAAACTACACCCTTGTCACTGAGGAACGTGGGTGTTCTCTTACTAAAGCAGACAGAGAAAGCTGCAACGAGTGCTGCACAAAAAAGCAGAAAGAGGATCCGTCTCTGAAATATTGATGAGACAACTGCCTTTTCTACTGCAAGAAAGAAGTTCATTTTTAAAAGATCCAGGAGGGTAAATGTTTCTTGTACTGTGATAATGCTTCTGTATGCTTTTTATCCTTGTAAGCACTGGATGCAGAGGGAGATAAATATTGCCTTACCATAATAATAATAATAGTCCCACCCTGCCGCTGCATAGACTCTCAACACATTCAACACAGTGAAAGAGAGCTTGTGCCCTCAGAATCTGACTCCTGCTTGTCCAGCTCAGTTTACACTGACACTACATGTTTGTCTGATTGGAGATTATATGAATTTAAAGACTTTACTGTGTTAACAAACTGTAACAGAATGGGACTGTTAACAAGTGTTAAGCTACAACATCCACTGTGAAACATCTGTGATACACTGAGAATGGTAAATCATATTTAAAAAACAAACAAACTCAAATGCTCGTTTATTTTCTGTCTGTTGGTGATGCTGTAAACATTGACCTGCAATGGTGAGGAAAACTTTTAGAGGACTAGGGCTTTCTCTTTTTTTAGCATAGTGCTGTAATTTCCAAACTGTAGTGCCTGTTCATTCTGCATAAGCGAAAATAAAAGATGTCATTAGAAAACTCTGAGGCAAATATGAGATTCCTTTAGCCTGAGATAACATGTGACATTTCAGCACATAATGCTTCTATAATAGCAGCTAAAACAAAACCAAACGGTCCTAAACTAAACAGCTGAAGCAAGGGAGCTAAATCCTGTTAAAGATAGCAAGCAATAGCCACAGTCTTGACTAAAGCCCCCTAACTGTTATAATACATTTTGATAAACTAACATTGTAGTTATTTAGTTTGCTATCCTATGTAAATAAGACGTTTCGTCCCTCATCCAAAGGACTTCTTCAGTTCTGACTGACTGGTAGGGAAACTAAGCTGATGAGGGACGAAACGTCTTCCAGTATCTTCAACCAAGTCCAGTTGCCCTTGACTTTAACCTTTGTAGGATAACTATGACCTGGATGACTGAGAATCTTCATAGACAGATTTAGTTGATATTGTGTTTTCCCCTCAATCATTTTCCAAGTTTTTCCAAATTGCTGTGATTTTCTTGATGTTGCGGCTTTCCATAATAATTTAAAATGTGGTGTAATTTAGTTTACTACTGAGTCACTGGGAAATAATATTTTAATGGTTTTGTTAAAAAATAATATACAAATTAATTCAGCTGTATTAATATGCATAAATTCAAACCAGAATGAAAGAATGAAATTCACATAAAATTAAAATTCACATCGCTCGGAGCACAGCTCCAATAGAATAGAATAATCGATGTCAATGGGGCAAACTTGGTGAATCTAGTTTTCTGATTTTGGGACTTGAGTGAAATTCAATAGAGATTATGTCATGTCTAAATATCTAAAGTGAGCGGTTCCCCCTTTTAAATAAATTTGAACAAAGTATTTAGAGCTTCCTCACCTTTAATCTAGTCTGAGAAAGAAATGAAAATGGTGGATCAGCTGTGGCAGTTTCTGCCACTAGAGGTCAGTAGTAACCAGACTTTAAGACACTTGTCACATAAGTCATCATTTTGTGAGTCAGATTCACACAATGACCACAATCCTTCAGTATAAACTCAACACATCTGCTGCCAGTTAAAATTCCACTCAGTGCCACAGGACTCAACACGTACATAATAATTATCTAGAAGTTTACCCAGAACCCCCCCCCAAAACATTTTAACTATTAGAAATACACACAACCACAATACATTTTGTGGTTGTGTGGTGTATATTTTTTTCTTTTGACAACTGGCCAAACACAGACACTGACATCTTGGTGACAGTTTTAGCTACTATAACAATTTCTACTACAATGTATTTATTGATTGATGACCTTCTAAATCATCAAATGTAAGTCCCTCAGAATCTAAGCGGGAGGTGTTTTTTTCTAGACTCATGATTTTGTCACATTTTGGGAGAAAATTCAGCGTTGAAGAAGTAAATATAATATAATCCTTTTCATTCCGAATGCAACATCTGTGCAATGTTATACAATGCAATAGACTTGTTTACAAAAGGAACTTTTGACTTGAACTTCTGACTTGTTGTTGTTGTTCCTTTTGTAAACAAGTCTATTGGGGAAGGAAAATGTTTTTTTTAAAGGTGAAACATCAAAATATAATACTGTGAAATAGGTTTAAATGTTTTTTTGATATATATTTTTTTTCTAGGTTGAAATCTTCACTCCTCTTGATTGTTTCAATACATATTTCCCCTCCTATGAGATTTAAAAACCCGTACATTATGCATGGATAAGTTTACCTTCCACTGCACACCCTTAACCTGCATGATCAAAACGCTCAATATAACTCAGGGCACCTTATCTTAGCAAATATGCTCTGGCTCTCCCTTCATAGGAAGAGCAATTATGTCACACTTTAAAACCTGTTAAAACCCTTATGAAAGAAACAACAGTTATAGGTGGCAAGAAAAGATAAATGTCATTGATGATCTGAAACAGAAAAGAACACATGCTAATATTTAATTATATTATTGTTGAGCTTTCCAATAACTGCTGAGTTTGGGTTGAGCCTTACATGCACTACAAAAACTTTATTTGTTAGAGACACCACACAGATGCTTATTCAGTTCAAAAAATAAAGTTTATTTAGCCCTGTTTGAAACTTGGATATCCTATCCTCAGACACTAAATTGGTGAAAAAAATAACCACACTTGGGGGGTGAGTTAAAAATATGCAGCCCCAAAGCATCAAAATTAAAAAAATAAATAAACTATGAAATACATACTCATATGAATACATCACATATTGTGAATTAATCCAATACATATTGTATCCAATATATTCAATAAAATGTTATTTCATCCTGCTTCTTCTCAAAATAAAATGCTTTTTATTTCAATCCAGCATTCTTTCTGTGAAAATCAAAACAGCATTTTTTTTTATAATGTCACTTTCATCACCAGATATTTATTTATCAATCAAGACAAACAGGACAGAGCAAGTCAATAAATTAGCTGTTGTCAATGGCTGCTGTTCACGTCCAAATAAGCGAAAGCCAAATAAATGGCTCCGCTCTGTTTTTTCTTGACAGAAAGACAAAGAGTTTGTATTGAAAAGTGATGCTATGAGCCAAATGCTAAAATCTAACAATAACAATGCTTACATGCTGATGTTTAGCAGGTACAATGTTTACCATCTTTGAGAAGGGTCTATGTGCAGACTTGCAGGCTGCATGACACACCCACTTTACTGCATGACAGGCCCCCTGAGATAACTTTCTGAATTAACATATTTATATTAACGCAAATCATGATATTTTCATAAACCTAACCAAGTTGTTTTGGTGCAACAGTTGAGAGGTTTGTGGCATGTAGAAGACCTCTCCTGTAGTACTGTGGACCTGCAGATTGACCTACTTGTCTTACTTTAGTGTGTTAGCATGCTAACATTTGTGAAGTAGCCCCACAAAATATACAACAGAGGCTGATGACTGAATACCAAAGTATTGGACAAACTTATATTTTGCGGAAACATTAAACGATCATTAAAGTTATTATAATTCATCCTGAGGAGCACATGAATGTCTGCTACAAATGTCATGTTAATCCATCAAAAAAGTAGTCGAGTGCTGTCTGGGCCAAAGTAGTGGACAGAGAGACCAACATTACCATCCCTATAGGCATGGCTTAAGTGTATTTTACAATTTTATCTTTATGTCACACATTTTGTCTGTATTTATTTATATGATTATTTATTTTATATCTATTTATTTCACCCACTTTGGGTCTCGATTGTGAAACACCCACAACATAAAATGCAATATACAGCAGTATAAACAAAAGTTGACAGCATAATAAAGTAGGGCTCCTCAGCAGTGAAACTATATTAAGGGAATGCATCCCTCTTTACTAAGTTACACCTTACCAAAAAAATCACATTTAAGCGGCATTATCAATACAGTCACAACAGGGTTTGAGGATCGCCCTGTCAGGGAGTTGATGGGTTACAAAAACTGACTGACTGACTGTATGTGTAACAGCCAGGACCAAACCCGAAAACGAAGCAAAACAATCCTAACCACAATTTCAACGGTGGCAGGAAAACTGGCTCTAAATCAAACAGAGACAGAGTGGTCAAGATGAGTGAAACAAAAAGACAAAGCAAATGTAGCTGTGGGCGATGGGCGTTTTCCTGAACTGTGTACGTAAAAGCAGTTAGTTCTAAATATTGGTAATTGGCGGTAAATAAAGGATAATTAAGAATCACATAATAGAAAAATAAGCAGGCAGATCATGCAAATGACAAGGCAGTGTATTTGTTGTTTTTTTTGTCCTGTTTTTTTTAATATGTGGTTGTTTCATTCAAAAAGCCCCAACAGCCACATTGTTTTGTCTCTTGCTCGTGATTTGATAAGCCTTCATGCAGCAGCTACCTGCTGGAAGTGTGTACCATTGGAGTCGGTCAGTGCACATGATCCATGTCACCTTTTTCATCTCAGGCTTAGGTGTTCAAGTGCATGGGGAGATAATGTGTCCTTTTAGTTTTGAAGGTTTCCATCTCCGCCGCCTACTCTTCCCACTATGCTGCTGCCTCATACTGGGTGAACAAACTGGTACACCAGTCTCTGAGACACGTCAGGCTTACGGATGATGCCCTTCTTGTAGTATTGACGAATGGACCGGCTCAGCTTGTCATAGTTCATTGCAGGTCGATTCTTTCTGAGTCCCCACAGTCTTGCAACGTGAGCAGAATCTTCAATTTTAAAAATACCTGGTGGGAATCACAAGAGATTTGACATTTTTCCACTTATATGTATATGATTCTTTTCTCTTTTTTTCTTTATACTAGTAGTCTCATTGCCAGAATGGCCTGGCAAAAAGGCAATAATATATACATTTAAAAAAATTTAAAAAACAAAATATTTTAGAGACAAAATTATATTAGAATTTATAGAAAAGTCAAATTTTCTGTTTTCTTTTCTGTCGCTGAGTTTTGACACAATGTAAACAAGCTGTTTTTAAAATATGAATTATTTGCATGTGAGATGTTATTTAAGGAGTTACAGTTTAAAATGAAGCACTGACAGTTGAAATGTAAGCATGCAAAGGAGTTAAAGTGTCAGTTGAAGTGTAAGAGAAGAAAGCAGTTGAAGTTGATTCACTGCAATGATCTGAACTTTAAATTGAAGTAGTCGAAATGTCAGTTGAAGAGAAAGAGATGGAGATGTCAGTTGACGTGAAACAAATCAAAGAAGTTGAAGTGTCAGTTAAAGCGTAAGCTGTGAAAGAAATTGTCAGTTAACGTAAGCTCAGAAAGTGGCTGAACTGTAAGTTGAGTTAATAATAGATAAAAGCAAATTGAAGTTGAAAGCCCTGAAAGGTTTTTAAGTATCAAGTGAAGTGTAAGCATTAATAGGAGTTTTTGGTCTAAGTTGATAGTAAGAGCTGAAAGCAGCTGTGTCAGTTAAGGGTTAGTCAGTGAAATGAGCTGAAACTTCAGTTGAAGAGAAAGTGTGGAAGACAGTTTGACTATAGAGAGCCTAAGTCCCTCCCCTTCCGGTGGACCACCAGGGGACCTTACTTCGGAAGAAATATGTACGGTAGTCACGACAAGACACAACTAATTTTTTGGTCCCTTTTGAATTGTACTCTGAATTACACATATGATGATGGTCGCAGTGTATTGTCTTGAGTCTCAATGACTGAAGCTAATGTTACTGAAGCTAACGTCAAAGAACTTACATGTGTAGATAATATGATAAAAGGACTGACAGTCGTTGGATTAAATCCATCAGGTGCGTGGAACATAGCTAAGTTACCTAGCTAGCAGCAACTAAGCAATGAGTGTTTGCTAGCATTACCACTGGCAAATTCAGCACCGACAAAACGTAGCGAAACGTTTTTTTTTTTTCAATGGAAATGGTGGTGCCTTGAACACCCCATTGTGTACACAAGCCCACTGCATTTTCCTGCCTTTTTAACATGGTTGTGTTTACAAAGCTGTGGCAGCTGATTGGGTAATACCTGTGACACGCCCGCCAAACGGGAGAAAACATACCTCGAAGCCCGTTGCAGAACATTGCAGAACGTTTCAAGGAAACATTTCGTTCAATCCAGAAACCATTCAATCCAAATCCATTGCAAAACGTTTTGAGATTGGACTCACCCCACGTTAACATGTCCATGATGTATATTTTGCGAGACAAGAGATGTAGTTCATTGAACGGTTTTCACACAAAATAACATGTAACTTTACTGTTTTTTTTACGACAAAGTGCAACTTTCTTGACCGAGAAAATTATCTTTTAAATTGACAAACATCATATGTGTAATTCAGGGCACAGTTCAAACGGGATCAAGAAAAAAGTTGTCTCTCGCCATTGACTACTGTACATATTTTTTTCTGAAATAAGGTCTCATGGGCCAGAAGTGGAAGCGAGTGACTTAGGCTCTCTATGGAGTAGGAATTCAAAGCAACTGAAATGTCAGGTGACATGTATAAAGTGAATACGGACGAAGTAACAGTTTACGTCAAGTGATGAAAGCCCTTCAGTTAAAGTGTAAGGAATGAAATACAATAGTGGAATAAATTATAAACTATAATGTTATTGTCACTTTAGTTTTTCTTTCATTCCAACGTAAAAATACAGCAGTAAAATGACCATACTGTCTTGAGATGCATGTCTATACTGTAGTATTTAAAAAAAGAAGATACCTTTTTCTTTATTGAGCCAGCGGATGCAGCGTCCGTAGCTGTGAGGTTTAAGAAGTAGTTCTCTAAGGAACTGCCACAGATGAATGGGCTGACCTGAACAAGATGAATCTGCCTCGGACCAAAGTTCCTCGCCAACTAAACAACAAAAAAACAACATTAGGACCTTACGGCCACAGTGTAGTGATTCATAGAGCAAAACACACATTCCCCAAAGGCCAAAAGATTACAAGGCGAGGCCCTTCTGGTTTCCAAACTAACAAGGACACGGGAGACACACAAAGCCAAAATCTTTAGTCTTATTTTTTTCTTATTACTACTTAGTTATACGTAAATGTCCAGTGGTCTATAGTTTAAGTGTGTAAATGCCAATACATTTTAATTTGTCTAATTCTGTGAAAAGTTACAGATATTTTTTTATTCATTACAGTTTAATATTGTCTTTAAATGAGGATGATGATGTATGAGGAAACCAGACCTACCTGTAGTTTTTGTATCTCCAACTGAACACCTCTCTTTCATCCAGGCAGCTGGAGAGAGAGAAGACGTTTACTATTTTATTGTTATTCTGTTTCTCCATAAATGTCTGCGCATCCAAACCAATGCATAGAGCATGTTGTGTGCTGTGCAGATTGTAAACATGATGAGGCAAATTTGTAGTGAAGTCGACTTGACTTGACAATTTAAACACTGTCCAATACAATCATGCTGCAGCCGGCTATGATGACCTGGTCACACACACCTGACTTCCATATGTCCAGATGTGCATGCAGTGTGTCTCCACACTGCGGTGAGCGCTGGTGAAACTCCTCCTCACTCATGGCACACAGGTCCTTTCCTGTCAGCTCCTGGAATTCCTTTCCCGCGTGGGGCAACCTGTACAGATGTTCAGTCCACAGCAGCCACTTCTGGACATTCCCTGTGTTCCACTCAATAGGGTCTAGGAAAACAGAGAGAGACAGGAAAACGATCAGAAAACTCCCTGCGGTGAATTACCTGCTTCTCCAGTGAGATTAAAATCCACTGAGTCAAGTTAAGTCAGTTAAATTCACAATTTTTTGTGTATTTTGTATTATGTGTGTTATTAAGCTACACTAACACATCATGAATCTACTGAAACCACAAATTAATCTCGCTTTTTATGCCACTACAGTTCTAATCAGTAGAACAGATGACTGGAGATTGCACAGGTTTATGACAGCCAGAAGCCTTACAATACATAATGCTTCCTCTATTTGCTTTCACAGTAGAAGACCTCGCCCATAAGACTGTGTACACGTCTAATGGCAGGAAAGAACCATCACTGTCACAATCCAAGAGAACACATGCAAATGTCAGGATTAAACAGATCCTGGAGTAGGCAAATACAATTTTACGTCAGCAAGGATATGATTTAAGGGATCTGTCATCTTGCCGAAGCTATTCACACAAATATGTGTTGATTTTGCGAGCACGACCCAGTATCTTAAATATCGTGGAATCAACATCCCTTTACCAGCAAATAACGGGTAAAATGTTTTTGTCATGAAAAATGCCATGTGTACTTTAAAGATTTGTTTCTTTGTCAGTTACTCTCTTGAGGATGACAAATTGCAGTAGTAGGTTAGTGGAAGGCAGCCTACCTGGGGTGATATTGAGCAGTTTGCAGGCTGTTTCAATGTCCTTCAGCACTTCTCCCACCACCATGCTCTGCACCTGCTCCAGAGACCGCTCTTCCTCCTGCCCCGCCATCCCAGGAGAGAGTCCCTGTTCCTGGCTATCAATGACGGGGCACTGCTCTGGTTCCTCCTGGGACTCCATGCGAGTCATGGGTACAGCCAGCGCTGGGGAGGCCTCTGAAACCTTCACCAGCCAGGTGGCGTCCTCAGTGAGGAGCATGTCGAAGCAGGAGAGGTAGAGGCCTGGTATGCCACGCTCCAGGGCTTCCACGCTTGATTTCATCTCCCCCAATTCCCAGGGTTCTCCAGAGCCCCTGTTTCTCTCCAGGGAGCGAGGGAGTCCTCTGTCATCCCAATCCGGGATCCATACACTGTGCCTTCTGATAAGCTACCCATTGGATTTGACATTACTGGTACCTGGAGACAAGGGAGACAAGAAAAGCCACACTAAAGGTTACATTTCTAACCCGTTACTTGCACATGAACTGAGAGCCATGTAAAAGTTTAAAAGAATCCAGTCAGCATTGCAAAATGTTTGATAAAAAAGTGTCTGTCAGATGTTTTGAAGGTAAATAAGTCATTTAAATCAGCACTGAACAAGAGTTCATAAATGATAGTCCTGTCTGAAGAAATACCTCCAACAGTTCCTTTCCTGCAATTCTCTGGCTTCTAAACCAGCGATTGATTTTGTTTGGTAAGAAACTCCATCAGAGCAAGAATGACTTTTCGTAATGGGTTATGAGCAGAACTGAGGTGAGACTGTGCTGGACGTTGCTCTATAAGAACCCCAAACCTAATGGAGATAATGGGGAAATGATCCTCAAGAGAGTTAAAACACACACAGGGCTGACAGGCATGGGGCAAAATGGATTTGACTGAGTCTCTTATTTGTGGGTCAGTGGCCCAGAATGGCTGACGTCTTGGGGGTAGGTGACTTGTATTGAGACCTGAAGCAGCTCTGCCGCCTGCTTCAGCTTTCAAGGTGCCGTCTCTGCAGCCCTCTGTCTCCACTGTCAGCTGGAGTTTTTAATCAAGTTAGATAATGTGGAGAATAGCGTGCACAAAATATGCACAAAACCACATGTTTGAAAACGACCATGGCGTCTGTTTTATGAAGACTACTGATAGCCACAACAGCTTCTTCTTGAAAGGAAATTGCCATCACCAGTGTTCATTTATGGATGTCAGCTGTAGCACAAGTGTTGTAATCTCAGGTTGAAATCCCATATGGTGCCCATAATGTGTACCTGCCACAGCTGGCATATGGGAAGGCACACTGCTGTCACACACCAGGTTATCAGTGGTTGCGGCTGATGCCACAGAAAAGAAAGTGTGCTCCCACAGAGCACATGTTCAAGGAGAGCCTTGGCTTTATTTGTGAAGACACAGAAATTAAAGTCTCTTAAATAGACTACACCAAAAATAAAAAGCATTTGTGAGTTCAAAATGAATCCAGGAATCCAGGAGACATTACATATTTTTCATTGAATATAATGCTTACACACTGACAAAAAAGAAGAATCCATTTATTCCATGTAATGTAAAATGGAATAAATACATCTGAAGAGTCTCTTATTTTTATTGTTTTTGTCAGTGTGTGGGCAAAATGCCTGGATTCAACAGCAAAACCCTTCATAATGCTGATCTCAAACCTTTGACACATTAATTGTGAAGGTGCTAACAACTTTTGAGACAGGACATCTTTAGTCTTTTACCAAACTTTCCCAAAGTTAAATGAAGTTGTCTTCCCCGAACCAAACCCCCCCCGAACATTCCCCTTCAAGTATTTGGTCCCCCACCCCCAACTGTAAAACCTCGTTCCCTGTCTTCCTTTTATCTCCACATTTCTCGTAAACTATAACCCACTCTTCCTTTCACTCCATCAGGAGTCAGATTAAAAGCCACTGGTATCCCAGCCTGGCTGCTGCGTGTCAACTCTGCTCAGTAACAGCTTGCGCTAAGCCCATTAGCAAAGCAAATTTAGCCATATTACCTTCTTCCAAAAGGAAGAGGGGACATAAGAAAAAGACACAAACACACACCCCTGGAGAGAGGGATTAAGACCCTGACTGATCTCTAAATGAGTTTGGTCAAGATGCTGATATTCATTTCAGGAGCATTAGAGCTTGCTCCATTTACTCTGCAAAGTCAGCCTTTGACACCGGTAGAAAAGGACTCCCTCTGTGCAGGCGTCCACCCTGGGAACCATATTTCTTCTACATGCTTGGTCTCATTTGACATGAAGAGGGTGATTATTTATGGTTCGGTTTCTGTCATCACCTTGGATTTCATATAGCTGTAGCTGTGTTATTGGTGTGTTTTTTTCCTGCAAAAAATGAAACACAAATGACCAAAGAGAGGAAAGTCCCAGTAAAGCTACATAAGTAGCTTTGATGAAAAGAACAGCGTGATCCCAAAAGGGATCAAAATATTGTTAATTTAAATCATTTTGTGGTTTGGAGTCAGTGTACAGAAATTTGTAGCTTTTCACCTACATGTGATGTGAATTAACTACCATCCCTCACTAAAGGAAAACTTGTAATGCCAGGAAACAACTGTTGAAACTAAGTCAAAGGCTTTGTGATGCCTGAGGTATCGTCCTCACTTCCAAACCCTCGCTTGAAGTGAAAGTGGTAAAAGTTGCAGACCAATACAACCAATCTGGCTTTGCCCATTTTCATCATGGGTGAATGTCATGTCATGTAACAAAAGTGTTTAGATAAAAAGTTAATGAATAGTGATTAAAACAAGCAAACGTCTGCTCTTTTAAAAGTGTGTTTAATCTAGATGATTCAAAATGAGCTGAAAAAGAAAAGGTAATCTGTGAGATTTGAGATTTGCCCACCACACACTGTGTTGTTTGAGTCTGGAGTTAAAGGAGTGTGTACAGCCAGGCGTGACTGTTTGCAATGTGAGCGTTAAAGGGAGATCTTTTTTTGTTATTGTTCCTCATGGGAAACTTGAACCAACCAAGGAAATCATTGTTCTGAGAACAAGGAAATGAGGAGTTTCATCTCTGTGTCAAGCCCCTTGCTCAATATGACTATTGCTGGTAAAAAAAACAAAAGGCTTGAGGCTAGAGGAAGTGATTAGGATCTGTGGATTGCTGCCTTCTTTATGACAACAGTGACATGTACAGATGCTCTGTTCCCATTGTAAATTAGGTTTAGGTGTAACAGTAATCTATTTTTAGGTAGACAAGTTAAAGGTTGTTGCTCATTTTATGAATTACAAATAAAAGCTGATTTCCTGTGCATGTGTTTGCACTGACTTCTTTTTTATTGCTATTTACAATATTTTAGTTTACATCTCCCAATTTCCTATCTTTAAAACTCAGGATATAACTAAATTTTATTATACTTTCCCTGGGCGGGTTGTATTAACTGCCATGGTAGTGCACTTGGTGATTTATTTCAGGTGCACTGGCAATAGTCCAGTATCCTAGGAAACACTAAACCATTACAAATGCTTTGCTGCTTCCAAATCAATTTTGTCAGAGGGCTGAATTTACAGTTTATGATGCAGATGATAAACTTCATGCAACTGAGATGGGACCCAAAGATTGGAGGTGTAGCACGGTTGGGTGAAAAAGCCTGTAACATGTTTTGCAGATAAATTACAGAGACAATGAAGATATGAAGATGTAATGTGGTGCCAGCAGGTTTATAATAGCAGTTTTAAAAGTTATGCAGAAAAGTATAATCTGCAGCTGCTTTTGAAAATACCATTTACACGTAGATTAATGGGACAGACCAATTTCACTATTTCAGTAGTGCAATATAAAAAACATTAGGTCAGTCATCCTCTTGTTTGGGTTTTTGTACATTTTTTACTTGTGTATAAAAAACTGTGGAAATTCTGGAACTTTGAAAAAAGTTGGGGGGGGGGGGTTGAAAATCAATAAAATCAAAATGTGACAAAGTACAATGGAAACAGACTTGAATCATGATGTACACAAAACATGTAACTTAAAGGACCAGCGTGTTGGAGTGGAACCTAGCGGTGAGGTTGCAGATTTGAATTTCCCTCACCCTTCGGGTCGGATGGTGGCTGATAAATGCGAAAGCCATCTCTTGAGCCTGTGTTTGGTTTGTCTGTTCTTGGCTACTGTAGAAACATGCCAGTGCAACATGGCGGACTCTGTAGAAGAGGACTGACTCCCTCTGTAGATATAAAGGGTTCATTCTAAGCCAACCAATCTGGCTTTGCCCATTTTCATCATGGGTGAATGTCATGTCATGTGACAAAAGTGTTTAGATAAAAAGTTAATGAATAGTGATTAAAACAAGCAAACGTCTGCTCTTTTAAAAGTGTGTTTAATCTAGATGATTCAAAATGAGCTGAAAAAGAAAAGGTAATCTGTGAGATTTGAGATTTGCCCACCACACACTGTGTTGTTTGAGTCTGGAGTTAAAGGAGTGTGTACAGCCAGTGCAACATGGCGGACTCTGTAGAAGAGGACCCACTCCCTCTGGAGATATAAAGGGTTCATTCTAAGCTAATGAAAACCCAAAGATTCTTATTTTCAGGTGATTATATACTAATGAAAACACACTAATGAATATTATATTCCATTTCTGACAGTCTTTCTGCCAATATCCCCTAAATCTTACACACTGGTCCTTTAAAGTCCACTGAAGCCTTTGCTCAAAAATGTTTTGTGTGGAGCGATGAGGAGACCGTAACATTCCTCAAACTAATACATGAAACAAACATAAATGTGACATTTCCATCACGGTTTCCGCATCGTTTTCATTCGTTTGAGGTTTGACTGGCGCTTGTTTAATTACATCACCTTATTATGCCCTCTTCATCTGCAATGGGTGAATTGCACCCAACTGGAGAATTAACACCACTTACTGTTTATCTTGCTGAGCTCAGCTCCTCATATTTGCATACCAGTATACCAGTACATTAAGCATTAAGTCACTAAATTTGGATATAAACTTGACTATCGGCTAAAGCTGTCAGTATGCTTCTTCAGAAGTGCTTGTTGGTTCGGAAACCCCCTATCCCCAAACCTTTCTGTGTCAGACCAGTTTCCGTATCATACTTCATGCAGCTGATTGACAAAGGAGCCGGGGTTTGAACTTCTTTCTGCAGCTTTAATTTTCATTTTTGACTCAACTATTTCTATCTACCTTTCGTGTGAGAGCAACACTATGAATGCCTTACAGGAGAGACTCGGATCTACTAATACACAGAACTGAACTGCAGCATTTCCACTTAAGTGTACTATACATTTATAACCTCACTGAACTGAGTTACAGACAGCAGAAAAATTATCACAGGGAAGAAAATGAGCAGGCTGCAAAGGGAGGGAGTGCAGGGGAGGTATATTTTTCGGACCCCATATCCATGTCTAATTTCTGCCTTCCCTCGTGACATTATATTATAAATAATGACATCTAA